TGGAGCCTCCCAGCCGCCTGCTGGGAGCAGCCTGGGCTCTGTGGCTGGCAGCACCTGCCTAGAACCTGGGCTGGCGGTGGTGTGCCAAGCAAAATGGCCTTGTGTGCCATGCTCGGCATGCGTGCTGGGTGTTGCTGACCCCTGCCCTAGAATCTATTTATATTCCAAAGACCTTGGACCTAAGTCTAAATATGTTTATTGAATGATTGACCTAAATCAGCCACCTGTTTGAGGGGATCCCCCATTCCACTGTTGTGGTTTACAGAGCAAGCTGCACCTTTTGATATCTGCCTGATCGATTTATCAATGCAGTGCTCAGGCTATATGCTATTGACTTGCCTGAAGTGCAGTCCTTTGATTTTCCCTCTCTCAAACTAGGTCCCTGCACTTGATACCCAATGCACTAAATGTGATTACTTAATAAACCTGATTGGGTTTGACATTTGCGAGTCTTACTTTCAAGACCTGTGACCAGTGGTTAGTGCCAGTGACCAGAGCACTTTTTTCTATGAAATTTGTTTACTGCAGTAGAAATAATGCATGGTATAAGAGAAATTGGAGGGTCTTAAAACAAAAAAGACCCATATCTATCTCTTGCCTAGACAGTTGGCATCCAGAGCAGAGATCCTAGGCAAGTTTCTGTTACAGATCCTTGACATCTGGGGACCTGTCTCACTATAAAAGCTTCCAAGGGCTACTCCCTTCCCCTTCTAAAGAATGTGACTTTTATTCCACAGAAGCCTTTGTCCTTAGGTTCCTGAGCTTTGTGATTCTCCTTTGTTTGCATACTGGGATTCCCCTCCCTTGACAAACTTGTCTCTTGAGCTTCACACAAGATATGAAGGGGGACATCAAAGAGAACAGAGTCTGTAATTCTGTCTGAAGTGTTGTTAAATGGATGGCTATCTGAAACTATTTCCTGTACTCCACATATGCAGCCAATCCCTTGTTTTAAATTAACTCCTTTATTCATATAACAATCACCCCTTAAAACAAAAGGGATATAACACGTAATATTTGTAAGTTATTACAGAGCAGCTTCAGCTCTATTACAAATATTTTCTAGTAACAAAATTGTCTAGTTTATTTTTTTAACATTTTAAACACTATTGCTGTTAAGCCTTTCATAGTTTATGGTTTCTCCACTTCTCTTCATTCATCCAGGAAGGTTCCTAGGTTCCCATCCTTCTGCAGCTCCAAAATGAAATTAGCACTTAACTTTTTTGCTGTTAAAAGGATAGCTTCAAATCCCCCCCCCCCTTCCTCCCCCATCTACTACTTATTTTGTTTCTCAGGTAACTTCATATATCCTAGAATGAGTTTTTCTGAATAATTAAAACCTGAAAAAGAACTGTACTTCAAAGGCTGGAATTCACAGATGTTGGGGGGAAAGTACATAGTTGTAATAACAAGTTTATTGCAACAGTAATCAGTAAGCTTGCTTTTACAGGAACTCAGAAAATCCTATAAAAAGTTATACAAAATGCAAAGATAGGCCCATCGCTACTCCTGTTTTGTTTTACCTCTTATTTATTAATGTTTATCACTATTAATGTAGCCCTTCTGTTGCAGCAGATTTTTTTTCTTATACCAAGTTAGAAAATGCCTCTGGTAAAGTTATCATTATAAGCAGTGAGGCATGCAAAAAAAAAGGAAAGAAACCCTTGACTTTTTATATTTTGTCAAGTTATCATTCATTCTGTGTTTAAAGTTGCATGCATTTGGCTTTTTAATGACTTTCATTTACGCATTGGAGTAAGTGCAAAGTTACATGGAAAATACTACCATTTTGGTTTGGTAGCTTTTTCCTTTCCCTCTGCAAATGGATAAATGACTATACAAGGGACCAAGGCAATGGAAAATTGGTTTCAGAATGCAGATGGAACTTGCCAACCAACAGAACTGCACTGTGTGCACTTTGAACCAGTGTTAATACTCCTTCCCCTTTTAGAAGCATCCAGTTTGCCCAAACTGTAAACACAACTGTCCAGTGTTACTTAATATTATTGTAGAAATACCGCTAATGCTTGTAATAGTCACTTATTTACTATTGATATAAATATTACATATTATTTATCATTAGTCTTTAGGAAGATATTTCAGCACTCATGCAATTCTGTGTGGAACAATAAATGCATGTCATATAAAGTGGTTCATTAGAACTTATGGTTCAGGCAATGTGTTCTTCCATCAGTGTGTTGGGTCAAGATTAAGATCTGTTCGTAACAAGAAATTCAGTTTTAAGAGTGGTATCAGGAATTAACGTTTTTTTTCAGCAAGCATTTACAACTTTGAGATGAAGAAACCAAGTGACTCAGACCTATAGGGTCTTATGTTTTGGATTCATGGCAGAAAGTGAGAAAGGAATTTTATGTTGCAGTGCACAAGTGCATCCTGATTTGCACATGTGAAAATCAATAGGACGGTAGATAATGGTCCTTTATAATCTCATACCCCTTGTGCATTAGTTTGACCCAATACCATATTTGCGTCTATAGTGTCAATTGGCAGGAGAAGAAGTGTTGCTGCATGCCCTCTGCACTTCTTCCCTCTTAAAATTAAGCACATCACCAGTTTCGGGGCTGAATCTGTGTTCACTGGCATACAGAGCCTGTTATGATACTGTATTTGCCATGGTATTAAACTACATAGGAACATTTAGAGTTAAATTCTAGTTCCTTTTCTCATTCCTAAATGGCACGTATGTAGCTATCGAACTGCAGTTTTTGGCACTGCATGCAGTCTTAACAGAGCTAGGTGCATATCTGTCAGAAATAAAATTGAGGCCAGTGGCCTCCTTGTTTTAGGCCAATGGCCCACTTGTGAGGGCACTTGTTCAAATAAAGAAAGACCCAGATTCGTGGCCGCCTTTATCCAGTGGGGGGAGGAGCGAACGAAGGAAGGGGTTGAACCTGTATCTCCTGCCTCCTCCTAGCAAAGTCTTCTAACCACTGTGGTCTTGGGATTGCCCAGACTGTTCTCCAGTCCACCCCTTGAAGCTGGCCTACTGACCGTAGACTTTAATATTCATAAGATCAGATGGATAAATATCATAGGCAGAGTTGTTGCACTACTGGGAGTAGGGGCCCAAATTAAGCTAGTTTCTCTTACTTAGGCA